CTCTGCCTTTTTTTTTCTTTTTTTCCCCTTTGAGTCCCAGCCAAAGCTCTCTGTTCAGCCAGGTTGGCCTTCTTCCCTGCTGGCTCATCTTTCAGCACATGAGGACGGCCTGGTTCTGCGCCTTGAATATTTCCTTCTTGAAGAATGTCTAGCCTTCCTGGACACCTTTGTCCTTCAGGACTGCCTCTCAAGCGACTCACTTGGTCTCCTAAACAGGCCAAATCTGCCCTCTGGAAGTCCAGGTGGCAGTTCTCCTGATCCCCCTCCTTACTTCTCTGAGAATTGAAAACTCTGTAGTTTCACTATCGCTTTGCCCAAGGTGTCCTCCAACAGTTACATCACCCAACAGTTGGCAAAAAACAGGTCCAGCGGGGCACCTTCCCTAATTGGTTCCCTCACCAGCGTTTTAGGAATTTATCTTGCACACACTCCAGAAGCCTCCTAGACTGCTTCCCCTCTGCTGTATTATATTCCCAGCAGATATCCCATAAGCTGAAGTCCCCCCTGAGAACAACAGCTAGCAATATTGAGACTGTTCTATGGCTCTGTGTTCCATGACTCCCTAAAATCAGATCAACAACCATGCTGGTCAAAGCAGCAAGAGCAACTGACACTGAAAAACCAGTGCAAATTATTTTGTTTGGTTTTGTTGTTAGGTTAGCAGAGATTTGCAAAAATCAGATGTACTAGTTTTAAAATCTTGAAGGACATGTCTCAGATGAAACTGCATGCATTCAATTAACTTGTTTCCAATGCAAAATCTGTTTTGACAATTTTTTTCCCTGATTCTTCTATATACTGGGTAGTTTTATTAATCAAATAATATTGCACATTCTAATAGAAAAATCAATTCCATTAAAATGCAATTTACAGAGACAAGGAAAAAATGTATCTATAAATAAAAATGTAACATCCACCAATTAACAGAGAATGTAATGGATAACTGAAATAAATTTACAATAAATCAAGAAAAGACCTTAAAAAACCATAAAAAAATTATTTGCAGAAAAATTCCAACAGAGAGACTTAAAGCTTCTGACACTGCTCATAACTAAAAGAAATTAAAGAAAGGAAATGAGCTGGAAGCATGCCATATGATGCTACCCTGAACTTATTACCCACTGTTAGTATCCTTACAGGCCAAGGAAGGCTAGGGATGTGAAAATCATAGTAATGTTGCTTAGCTAGAATCTCTGGAGCTTATCCAGGCTAACATCACACTTGAAGTAGGCCTACATGTAACAAGGTCAGGTCAGCCATGGTGCTGTTTGGTTAAACCTGTCACAGAAACCTTCAAGAATGGAGATGACAAACTCTCTCAGGGGAGATCCGCTCCAGCCCTGTGCTGCCCTTCTGAAGAGAACTCCCTTCCACTAGATTCCCATGTATTAAGACCACTGAGCTTCAGTCACATTAAACAAGCAAGAAACTTTTAAGTTCGGATTATCTTCATTTACAACCAGATGTTTTCTGTACCAAAACCAGACACAACATAATGCCATTATTTAAATCACAAATGATATTTAGAAATACTCCTTAAATCCATTTAGTTGAGATTGTAATCCAACACATCATAAACCATCAGAAGTTCTAATTTTGTCAACCACACAGAAGAAAAAAGTACACTCATTACAAACCATCTTTTTGACTCAAAACCTAACATCTTGCCTGTCTGCATATTGATTTTCCCCCAGTACAAGTCACTCTCCCTTCCTCAGACTGTCTGCATGGGTAATAAGGCAGAAGGGTAGACATGAAATTACTTACAGTCTACTAAATTCTCTCTCCCTGATGTTAAAACCTGGTCTATACATCTGGGCCTCTAAACACTCTGTGACATTTACTTCAGGACTCTGGAGATGCTCCTGTGTTATTCTGAAGATTGACAGTGGTGACCTCAGTTACTCTAAGACATGAATGCTATTCTTCAAAGTTACTGGTCAAGTTCTTCCAGGTGGTAGAAGAAAATCCAGCACTACTAGATGACATATAGAATATATTTGCCAGGAAAGTCATAAACAAAAAATATTGAATTTTCCACCACAATCTCTATGTACACCTGTACTGGTTTGTCTGGGATAGAGATAATTTTCTTCCTGGTTGCTGGCACAGTGCTGCGGTTTGGATTTAGGATGAGAGTGATGTTGATAACACACTGATGTCTCAGCTGTTGGTAAGCAGGGTTTACACTAAGTCAAGAAATTGTCAGCTTCTCACACCAACCCACCAGCAAGTAGGTAGGGGCACAAGAACCTGCGAGGAAATACAGCCAGGATGATCCAAACTGGTACAAAAGATATTTCATACAATATGGTGTCATGCTCAGCATATGAACTAAGGAGAAAGCTGGCTGGAGGCTGATGCTTGGGAACTGTCTGGGCATTGGTTGGCAGATGGCGACCAACTGTATGTGCATCACTTGTTTTGTATATTCTGATTCTTTTATTATTATCCATTAATTTTTTTGTCCTATTAAATGTCTTCATCTCAACCCACAAATTTTACTTTCCCTCCCGCTCCCCCCCCCCATTCTCTCCTCCATCCCACTGGGGAGCAGGGAGTGAGCTAGCAGCTGGGCGGTGTTTAGCTGCCAGCCAGGTTAAACCAGGGCAACAAAATTAGGAGAAAAAGCACAGTAAGCAGATAAGGAGACAATAAACAGCTGATCATACTCCAGACGTACACTTACAAATATGCACTGTTTGCAATAACAAAGTATTCTGACATTCTCTAACCAAAATCACAAATCAGTAATATTAATCTTTAACACTTCCTACTTTGCTACAAGTTGATTCTTTACAAAGTCCTTAGGTTAACTCCAGTGTATTGCCATATCCCATTACAGCAGCCCTGAGGACACGGCAGGACTGCTTATCTTGGCACAGAAGAAGCTAACGGGGGCGTCTATTTTACCTGTGGGCGTGGCATGAACACCGAGGCAGAATTGTTGTTGTCATCCCAGCAGATCTCTAAACATAACAGCTGCTGATCATTTCTTGCTAGAAAATGCTATTGCTTTTAGTGCTCACAAATGTGTATACACCACAAGATTTAATATGGTTGCTGATTTTACAGTGTCTGAGGACAGACCCATCAAAAACTGAGATCTTTCCCTTACAGAAAGAGACAACTTGCACTTTGATATGGTGTCAAAAATCAGACATGCAAGGTAACCATATATTTTAGTTTTCTATCCTTTAAAATTTGCCAGTGAACCAGGTACATACATACTTCATTTTTGGGGGGATCTGAGGTAGGGGCCTGGGCTCTGAGTATGGTTTATTGGCAAGAGATTACAACAACTTCCCCTGTGCTCCAGCAGCAAGGGGCTGAGCAGAGGGAGGGGTCCATATACGGTCTGTGAGGCTGGTGCCACCAGTTACTGGTACAACCAGTAAGGTGGTGTTGGCTTGCTTCCGCTGATGCTGCAGATTCAGCTTCCTCACTGCTCACTCTCCAGCACAAACCCATTGCAGAAAGCATGCCATGGCCCAAACGAGCTTCATTCGGCTGTTCACCAACTGCACATCTCATGGGCCTCAAGCCATCTTCATTACATACAACCCTTTCTTTGTTAGCCAGAACCAGGGCAACTTGGGATACACAGGACAGTGAAAAGCAGAAGGTGGCCTTGATAGCAAGGGAACATGATTGAACTGCTGTGTGGAGTCGGCAATGAAGGTTTATTAGCACTAGTTCAATTTCAGCCCCACAGTCTTTCTTCTCATGAGGTTTGTGGAATACTTGTGCCTTGAAGAGCACAGAGTGCACCACGGTTATGCAAATTCAGAGGCTTTTGTTCCCAATTCTTCCCAGCTGGAGATGATTCACTGCAAAAGTAGCTCACATGTCTCTGCCTGTGGTCCAGTTAAGTGGAAAAGTGAATAAACTACCAGTGGACAATGCAATTTTGCAGTGCTGGTGGGTAGCACCCCCTGTACACACAGCAGATTATCTAACATTCACCAGGCTTATGCCTAACCTTTGCCAAAAAACAGTGCGTGTCTTTCACTGATAACCAGAGAAGGCAGGCAGGCAGGCAGTGTAGCATCCTGTGTGACAGGATGAGTGAACCCTGCTCCTGTTGCACACAACACCCTGAGCCTGGACAAAGCACATGGTGGCAGGGTTTGGCTGTAACTTGGCTCTGTCTCTTCCCTTCCAGGAGAGAGACAGCAGCCAGACTAGACACGAACTTTGTCAAGTTCACAACTTATTTAGGGTTGGAAGGGACCTCTGGAGATCACCTAGTCCAACCCCACTGCCAAGGCAGGGTCACCTAGAGCAGATTACACAGGAACATGTCCAAGTGGATTAGGAATGTCTCCAGAGAGAGAGACTTCTCTGGGCAGCCTGTTCCAGTGCTCTGCCACCCTCAATGTAAAAAAGCTCTTCCTCATATTGAGGTAGAACTTCATGTGTTTTAGTTTATGGCCGTTACTCCTCATCCTGTCTCTGGGCACCACCAAAAAGAGTCTGGCACCATCCTCTTGACACCTCCCTTTGAGATATTTAGATGCATTGATGAGATCCCCTCTCAGTCTTCTCCAGACTAAACAGGCCCAGCTCCCTCAGTCTCTCCTCATCAGAGAGATGCTCCAGACCCCAAAAACATCTTTGCAGCCCTTTGCTGGACCCAGTAGGTCCTTGTTGTTCTTGTACTAAGGAGCCCAGAACTGGACACAGTACTCCAGGTCGGGACAGTCTCTGTCCTATCCCTTCCTCTTACAGCAGGCATGGCCCATACCCTGGTGCTTTCGAGGCAGCCCTGGGTCTGGCACAGGGACCAGGGGCTGCCCATTCCCTGCGCTCCGAGCCGGGCCCAGGACAGTGCGCGTCCCGCTGTCGCTCCCGCCTACAGGGCAGGCTCGGCTCCCCCGGAGGCTCCCCGGGTTCCGCACTGCCCCGCGCCCGCGGCCCTGCCCCAAGCGCCGCCGGGACCCCCACGCCTCGGCAAGGAGAGCCGGTGCCACCGTCCCCCCCGGAGCCCTTCCCCGCACCTGTAGTTGTAGCCGCTGAAGCGCTGGCTCTCCCGCAGCAGGGCGCGGTACAGCCGCAACACCTGGGCACGGCTGGACGCTGCCATGTTGCCGGCACCGGGGCGGCTCCTCCCGCGACGGCGGGGCCCCTTTTCCCCGCCCTCCCGCCTCCCGCGCCGGGCGGGCGCAGCCGCGGCGGGAGCGGGGCCGCAGGGCCGGCGGTGAGTGAGTGGCGGCTCGGCCCAGGCCCGGCGCAAGGCCCGGGCGGGGCGGGGAGAGGAAAAGGCGCGTCCCCGGGCGGGGCAGCCCCCGGAGTGGCGGACTCGGGGGGCCCGGGGGGCCCGGGAGGCCGGGTCCTGCCGTGTCGGGCCTGTCCGGCAGCTCTGGCGGGGGGCACAAGGCGCGACCTGCCCCGAGGCTCCTGTCGGGCTCGGCCGTGCCCCTGTGAAAGGCCCGAGGCGGGGAGGGAGGCCCGAGCGGCTGGGAAAGCGAAAGCAGCGCTCAGAGACGCTGGTCGGTGACAGCAGCGTGGCGGTGCCCACCCCGCACTTTTTGGTGTGTCACACGCGGTGGGATGTGGTCCGGGGCTGGAAGCTAGCAACAAGTAACGTGTGCCAGGGGATTGCATCGAAATCGCTGTAGACATTTGCAGTCTGTGTTCCTGTACTGGAGAGGGTCCAGTGGAGGGCCACAAAGATGATGAGGGGTCTCGAGCATCTCTCTTATGAGGAGAGACTGCAGAAGCGGTGCCTGTTTAGTCTGGAGGACACTGAGAGGGGATCTCATCAATGCATCTAAATATCTCAAAGGCAGGTGCCAAGAGGAGGGTGCCAGGCTCTTTTCAGTGGTACCCAGAGACAGGACAAGGAGCAGTGGACGTAAACTCAAGAAGTTCCACCTCAGCATGAGGAAGAGCTTTACACTGAGGGTGGCAGAGCACTGAACAGGCTGCCCAGGGAGGTTGTGGAGTCTCCCTCTCTGAAGACGTTCCAAACCCACCTGGACACCTCCTCCCCATGTAACCTGCTCTAGGTGACTCTGCGTTGGCATAGGGCTTGAGCTAGGAGATCTCCAGAGGTCCCTTCCAACCCTAAATATTCTGTGATACTGTGAAATCACTGCAGACATTCGCAGTCAGTGTTCATCAGTGCCAGTGTACTAGACTCGAGTGTGTTACAGTGTCATGTGAGTTGTTCCTCTCTCAATATCCCGTTTTAAGATGAATTCTCCTATTTAAACTAGCTTGACCTGTATAGTTATAGTTCAATTGCTGTTTAAGTAGTGAGAGCCTCTGACAGAGATTAGCAAGGATTTCCTGCCTCTTTTTATTTCAATGCTTTCAATGCTTTTATTTCAATGGGAAATCTCTATTTTGTAACTCCTTTGCTTGCTTTTTTCACCACCCTGAGAAATGACCACATGGGTTTTATCAGTGCCCTCCTCTAAGGTTCTCCATTTGTACATGTTTTCAGAAAATGAATAACTGTGTTGAACTTTGGGTAAATTTAACACACAGGCCCCATGTGTGCTGAAACTGGAGAGGGTAGGACACAGTAAGGAATCAGTGTACAAGTGCCTGTGTATCTTACAGTCCACAGAACAGCAGACTGAAGCCATTCAAAAAGTAGATTCTACCTGTTTATTTGCTAATTTTTGGTCTTTCCTCTCTACTGTGAGTGTGAGCCTCTTTTTCTGCTTAAGAACTTCTTTTGCTGTTTATACCAGAGGCATCCTGATCCTTTCGTTGCTGGAAACAGCACATATCTAGCATCCTCCTTTGCAGAAAGTTTTACCACTGCAGAATAACTTTGTACCTTACAGGTATGGTGCTGCAGGTATATTTAATACTGATATTTTAATGTTATTAATAATACAATTTATTTATAATCATGACAGAGTTCCTACTTTCTCCACAGTATGATTTTTATATAGTAGATGTATAAATATCTATCATGTAGATATTCTACATGTCTCTGGCAAAAGTGTTTTAATTGCTGCTACTAATTAAACTTGTTTTATTGTATATGCGCTTTGGGTATTATTATCTGTGTCAGTTGTGCATCTAATACAATTTACAGTTTGTTGCAAAGAACTAAAATAGTTCTGTGCTTCTGAATGTAAATAGAGACACACATGGAATTATGTCAAATTCATCTCTACAGGTATGTTATGTTTTAGCAGCCCATTAGGCTTCTGGAAATGGAGGTTTTTCCATACATAGAAAATGTCTTGGATATTCTCTTTATCAAAGCCCAGACTAGAAATGTTAAGAGGAAATGTTGCATTTTTCTAGAAAAACGTAAGCAACTACAACACTGGGATAAGCAAAACTTAGGTTTGAGAGTTTAACAAAGTTATGTGACATCATTCTGTGGATGAGTGTGGCAGTTGTTCCATGGAATTTTGCAAGAGCCTTCAGTTATTGTTGGAAATAAAATTTTTGTGTTACAATCTTCAGCTCTAAAAGATGAGAGAGTAATTGGGATGAAAGCATTAAACAAATTTTGTTTACATGAACAGTATTGATTTAATAGTTGAAAAGCAATTATAAATTATTTTGAAATAGCCTGTGGTGCTAATCCTGTTCCTGAATCTCCCTGACAGTTTCTGTGAGTTTCATTTTTAAAATTTTTTTTTTCAGTAACCATGTTTTTCTCTTAAAGAAGCCTGGAAACCCCATATGTTTAGAATAAGCAATAAGATCAGGCAATGCATTATCAAATTCAAAGTAAACCTATCAAAGGAGAGAAGTCTTTCCTCTTGTCTCCTTTACGTAGTGTAACCTATAATACACTCAAGGAGGGAAGAACAATTTTTAGCAGAAACTTGTAATCTTTGTGCAGTTGGATTGACGTTTTTATCTGGAAAAATTAATATTTTCTTATGTATTTTATTATTGCATTTCCTTGGAAGCAGTGGATTATGGTCTCAGAAGCAATGAATTATGGTCTCAGAAGTCCTGTCATTCTGCAGGAAGTGGACATTGCCTCTGCTGTGACTGGAGTACACGTGTTTCTGCTGGCCTTTGTATATGTGCATCACTGCAAGCCTGCAGAGAATTTGAAGGACAGACACAGCTCAAATGACCATTGTTGTGTCCTGTGCCTATGTATGGGGAAGCACTAATAGCCACTTAATTAACTACCTTCTCATTCCTAGGGGAAAACCACACCTGAATTTAATGCAGTCATCAAGCCAGAACCAGTCAGTACATGGGTTATTCTACCCCCTTTTCCCCCCTGCCCCCAAACCTCTCTTGTTTAAAATTTAGTGCTGATTAATTATTATATTTTATGGAGATTTTTTTTTACTTGCAGTGATACATATAGTTATTGTCTAAAGGAGTTTGTGGGTGTTCATTTGTGCAGAAGTCTTTGCCTTCACCATTTGGTCTGAGGAAGGAAGGTGGCATGTGCCTTGCCTTTCTGCATCTCTTGGGATAAATAAGCACTTTGAGAAGGACAAAATAGTATCTGTACCTGGAACATTTACTAATATTCTAAGTATGTAGCTGCTAAAAGTAAAGGAGGAATTTGAATTAAATACCTGCAGAGACTGTGGACTGGTGTGAAAAGAAACAGCTGTTCTATTCTCTGGAGCATATTTGATGTCTTGTCGTATGTTGCCGAATAGTTCCTTGTAGTGCACTATTTCAGCTTTATGACATGGCACTGAACACTTTCAGAGAGCATGTGTTTTCCTCGTACACTGCTGTTGGTTTTTGTTATTTTTCTTTGGGGGTCAGAATGATAATTGATTGTTGTGATATTATCATCGTCTCTTTTAATTATTGTTTTTCAGTTTATGACAGCATTGCTAACTTTACCCTGCTGCTGTGGTATGATGTCTCTCTTCTTCTCTGCTCTTAGTTCCTGATTGACAGTGTTGTGCACAGGGAGATCCTATACAGCAGAGTAGGACCGTCAAAAGAAGGATTGTAAATCACAAGAATTTCAGGATTTCAGTGACAAGTGTAACAAACTATAATTTAACCATTCCCTATGGTGAATAAGATTTCCACAGTATTAACAGGAGGCCTTGACTCACTCTGCTATTAAAATATTTATATTTGTTTTGTTGCCCAAAAGAAAGGAATATTTTTATTCAGGAGGAGAAACTTCCATTTTTCAAATTCAGCTGTACTCCTAAATTCTTCGTGCATTTTGAAAAATTTTGCCTAGAAGTTCAAAGGGAAGGAAAAACCATGACAAAACTCTTATCTCAGTTTTTGTGAGTTTTCCCATCTCTTTCCAACTGAATTGCAGAACGTTGTGTATTTTTTAAAGTAAGATTGTAAGAACAGTAATAATACGAAAACCAAATTCCAACCAGTAGTGCATTTTCTGTTGTAATACTTGGTCTTCTAAGGGAATAACTGTTTTACCACTGATCCTAAACCTTTACTGGTTCATGATCTCTTGTGCTGCAGGCACTGAACTGAAAGAAATACCAAATTTTGTTTTCCTTGTTGGCCACAGTTTTAACTTTCTAATTTCTTGTGGCAGTGTGCAACAGCAGAGGACTTCATGGGCATTGTGTTGGCTGATAATTAAGCAGCTGATATGAAGCAGCTGGACAGTTCAGCAATCCCAGAATAACTTCTGGATTGATGATATGCATTGTTGATACATACCATATTGATTTTAAAAGATGTTGTTAGTGGACATATGTTGGTAAAGTACTTTGAAATGCTTGAAATAAAAATGCTATGAAACTCCAGAATTAAAAGGATAATTTTGTGTAACAATAATAGGCAAGAGAATAAATAGTAGAGGATTAAAATTACCAATAGTGCTTAAATAGTTCAGCGTGTAATAGTTGCATCAAATGTGAATGACACTTTGAACCTTAATGCTGATGAAAGCCAAGGTATTTTTTATAATGAAAACCCCATAAGAAATTAACATTTTTTTGCTATGTGGTTCTAACATATTTTTGCTATACTGCAATCTTACTCAGAAATCTAATAATGAGAAACATAAAGGACAGAATTAATTAGGTGTTCCCATCTATGGCCTCATCAATTCAGAAATGTTTTCTTTGCAGTGCTTTCCAGTGTTTTATCAAATTTAGCCTTAAATAACTTCCCTTTCTGTGGGAAAATATATTCTACTTTATATGGTATTGCTGTTCAGAAATGTTTTCTGATGCTCAGCCTATACCACCCTCTTCCCTGAGTTCATCCCACCTTTTAATTCATGCCCTTAGAGTCAAGCTGTTTAATTCCTCTCCCTCCTCTGTGATTTACACTATTGTCATATTTCTCAAGAGCTGTCATCCAGCCAGGCCACCTTATGTAGTTATTTTGGTATTTTTTCTGCCCTCTTTTAGAGGATGTTGAAATTTTTAACTTAGGAAGCATATTTAGCTGTAAAACAAGGACTGATATTTTGTTTAAGAGCAACTGAGAGTCTCTTTGTAGCCAGCCCTGTATCTTTTTTCTTGACTTGTGATTTCTGGTTTGGCTGGTTGGTTACAAATGGTACTGCCAATCACGATTGCATCCAAGGTGTTTTGCTAGAGCAAAGTTTCTTCTTCTCTTGAGTTTATTTTTTGTCATATGTCAATGTGCATGTGAATATGCATACAGATGTGTGTAAGTGTGTATGCAAGCATGCACGCAGTCATGTTGTGGTGGTAAAGGTTATGCCCTTCATCCCAGATTCTCTGTGGTTCAGCGCTGGGGATTGGTGCACAGCTAGCACAGTGCTCTGAGTTTTTTTTCTGATTACCCAGTCCCCATGTCTCAGGTATACGAAATCAAAGGCATCCTGCTGCTTGGGAGCATCCCAGTTCTTCTGCTCTCTGGATTATGGGCATGGGTTTTCTTCTCAGGCGATACCAGGAGCTAGCTCTACTCAGGTCAGGGACTAGTGCTTAAGTCCTTCCCTGAAAATCCACTTCAGTAACCATTTTCTTATAAATACTTCTTGTGTGATTATTTGCTAGAAGCAATTCCTGGATTAAAGTATCAGTAGGTGTGGAAGTATCATGTGGCTGTAAAGTAGTGTGGAGCTGATATAAGAAAACATGTTATCCAAGGTAAGGTAGAAGTAGAAAGTTCTTGTGTAATGTATTGAAAAGGTGCTGTTGGGGAAAGGTATGACCTCTGATAATGGGACATGTGGAAGAAACTAATATTTTTAATGTTTTTAGGGAAAGAAAAATTAAGCAAAATTTTGCTTTACAATGGATGTGTAAATCATCAAGGATTAAGTGTATTGTAAGTAGGCTATCTATTTAGTTTTTCTGACTGTGGGACATGGGGAGGGGGAATGATTTTCCACTTGTAACACATTTTCATTTTGTATGATGCTGTGCATCCATATGAGTTTTTGTTCTGGTAACTTGGACTTTTAGTCCAGCTAAAAAACCAACAGTTTGAATAGGAAGCTGAAACAAATTTTTTCTGGGGAGGAAAGAAAACTATGGAGCAATGTTTTAGTTGAAATGAGGAAAACAATGTAACCATATTAGGAATTGTAGTAATGGTAGAGTTTAAAATACTTACTTTTGCATGATCTTTGACATTTTTATTTTTTGTCTTGTGTCACTATCAGTTTTATGTCCTCAGAGCTCTGGCCACGTGTGACAGTGCATTAGGGACATATTCCTATATATATCACGTTTCTGATGCATTTGTAAGATCAGCTGAATTGTCAATATTTCCTTACATGCCTTCACACTTCTAGATAGAACTTCCTTTTTATTTTATTTCTGTTTCTGGTTTTTATATCTGGGGTGACTGTGTCAAAATTTTTCTTTCAGACAGTCCCTGAAGAGAAGAAACAAAGCACTGACTAAAGCTAACAGAGCTGAGGGAAGATTATCTGTGCTTGCAGGTAAATAATTAAAAATAAATTTAGCTTTCTGAATCTCTTTGCCACAAACAGTGCGAACCTTTTTAGTTAGTAACAAGTTTTCAGTCCTTCTCCATTTTAATTAATAATTGAATTTTAATTTATTTAATAATTAAAAATATTTCTTCATCTTCACCAGCTGCTAAAGACAGGTATGCTGGCTATCTAAAGTTGCTTTCCGTATAGAATTGATGCATTTCTTTAGTCCTAATACAAAACCAAAGAAACTTTTGAGACTTGAGACATAAAGATAGGTAGATAACAATAATAACAATAGATAGATAAATAGGTAGAAGATGATAATCTTCCAAAGAAGAAATTCAGAAGGACAAATTCTGTCATCCTTATAGGAGAGTATTTCCATATCTTTGAATATAATCCCTTTGAAATCTGCCGAACCACCTAGGCAATAAGTTGCTGTTCAGCGTGTGAAGAGGTGGCAGAATTAGGTTCTCCTTACTTACAAACCAGTTATAATTGATGCAGGTCAGAATTCAGCATAGGATGCTCTGGTGAATGGTGAGGGAGCTCAGGGAGCTCTTGAGAGAGGCAGTAGTTATGTTTTTACAAATCTCTCAGCATTCCAGTCTGTTACATCCCTGACCACATGGCAAAATAAGCTAAAGGCGGTGTGTGTTTGTGTCTCTTTATAAAGTTTTGTGTGTTACCTCAAAATGAGAATGTGTGGCAGTTTAGACGGGGATGCAGGCCTATGAAGTGGAGCTGTCAACTTTCCAATAGGAATGGGTTTACATTCTGCTGAAAGGTGGGAAAGGGGGAAAAAATAGTTTAAAATACCAATACTGTTCTGGGAATATTTTTGAGAGCCCAGGTCTCTGTCTGGAGACCTGAATTAAGTATCTCCCTGTTCTACTATTCTGAAGCATACCTATTTCAGGTATGCTTTATAGCCTAGTGTTGGTTTTGCCCAGGATCAGACTGTGGGGTTTTTCTGTTTGTTTAGTTGTTTGTTTTTTGTTTTTGTTTTTTTTCCTGGCACTGTACATGTGTTGTTTCTTTTAATTCATTTTTATGCAGGTGCTTTTCATTGTTATTTAACTTTTTCCTTTTTTTGAAAATGATTCCTGGTGAAGTATGTGTGCTCCACCTAAAATGGAGAAAAACAGATAAACAGAGTAAATATTGGGTCTTCACAGAGATTTAATGGTGCTTCATTTAATTTTTTTGTGTGTGTATGATTTCAGAATTGGTTTCACTTTGAAGAAACTGTTCAAGACCTTTGTTAAGAGTATTCTTACTTTTGAGACTTTTAACATAACTTTTTTCATTGCTTTCTTATCTATTTTAGATTTTAATGTAGCTTTTTTCCCAACATTTGTTTTAACTTTGATTTTATTATACTAATTACTCTCACTGTGAAAATTACATAGTGCATTACACCAGCTCTTCCAGTGGGAAGATAATATTGTAAAATGGTCAGATATGGTATTGTACATGTAAAATTAATAGATATTGAAGATGTAACTAAATATTGACTCTATATAGGTTTGATGAACTTAGGAAAACTGCTTGCTTCTTTTATGTTGGCATGCTAACTTCATCAAGTTTTATGAAAGAATGTTGTTCTGAACAGATAGAGAGATTAAAGGTTAACTTTTTCTGTTTTCCCTTCTGTCCCTCTCCATCCATGCACAGATTGTGGTTGTTATTCCACACCCCACTTTCACTCACAACATATCTTATTCTAATAGTGCCATTTTTTCACTGTTTTCTTGTGGTCGGTTGTATGGTTAATATAGTATTCATTCTACAAACAGAAACTCTGCCAGATAGATTTGAACTAAGTATGCAGTAACACCGTGTTTATTCTAGTAACTGTTGTTATTTAAATTGTTCTTTTTAAAATAAACTTGAGATATTGCAGGTTCTATCAAATCCTATTTTCTCACATGATATTAGGAGTTCGTTTGACCCCAGTGTCCCCTGACTACTCTCACTCCAAACCCTGAGTGGCAGAGCCTGCTGGGCCTGTATGGAATATGATCTTTCAGCATGTGGCAAATTGCAGTTCTACAGATGGTTTTAAAGAAAAAATAATAACAATTATTATGGTTTAGTTTTTTTTCTCTCAGTATGTAACGGACATGGAGTTAAGTGAAGATTGTTTTATCATATGTGACCTTGAGCTATAGTAGGATCTTATTCTTCATTAATAATAAAGATTTGATTCTTTCATGTTGTTATTTTCTCTTCTTCCCGGACTTGTATGGCTTCTTTTGCCTGGTCAGTGTGTGTATCTTGGCTTAAAATGCAAGATGAGGGGATGTTGCCTTTGTTATCTAAAGACTGGATGGAGAAACACTTCTGTGTGCCATAGTCTGAGAGGTGTATCCCAAGCTCTGTCTTAGGTTTTCTTTCACTGAGGCTTGCTCTGGAGGGAAGTGTGACTTGCAGATGTCTGCTGTCACAGAAAGGTTCTCTGATATAAATAAAAGACATGGCTTTCTCAAGGCTTTTCAAACAAAGGTTTTCTTTTGTTCTTTGTGCTGGGCTTTGTGTGGTATATTGACATTATATGTCTAAGTATATCAATATTAGAAAGCCTTATAGGAGGTGTTACACAGTAATATTAAAGATGTTAAAACATTAAGCTGCTCGGGAGCCCATTATCCTAGGATGCTGTGAGTCATGAACTGAAATATATCCTATTTTCTAGCATTAATGGCAAAGAAAGAAGTTAGTGATACTAGTCTTGTTCTTTTTAGTGTAACACTCTCAAACTTTTTTTTTTTTAATCTGGTGGTAGCAGGACTGGATGGAGACACAATTTAAATCTATATTTTAAGTCATGCTTGCCTTGCTTTGCTTGCTACAGAATATTTTGGAACTAGTTTTTCTTAAAAAGTTATAGGAGATGTCAGCACCTCCTGAAGGTTATAAAGACAGTCGTGTTCAGATGTAATCAAATAGAGTATTACGAGGTAGGTCTGCCTGAATACTTATGAATTAATCCTGGCTGTAAACTTTTACCAGAACTGGAGAACAGTTGTATCAGGAAATTAGACCAGGATTAAGCAAATGCTTTTTGAAATTTGACTTGTATTTATTTGAATAGGCAGAACTTTAAATTGAACATTTTTAATAATAAAATTTATCATCAATATTTATCAGCAGCACTGTTTATAATTCAGTGTCAGTTGCTGCAGTTGAAGTGTTTTTAAGGAAAAAGACTACTTTTTTTTATCCTTAGGCTTTAAACATAATTAATGCATTTATTTAGCTACAGTTACAGAAAATGTTTCATAATATAAGTAGAATATTCACATATCAGGTCTTCTGTCTTTTGGTAACCTATATACATTCATAACTGTAGAATATGCAAAGTAAAATTTTTAAGCTTGTTAATGGAGGTTGCCTAGGTAGTTAATTCTTGCGTGTCTTCTTGGGTATGCTTGTCCTTAAAAAAGCAAAGTTAAGTCTTTCATCTTGCAGCTCAGCACACTAAGGAGGCAGCACACAGGCTTGAAATGTTATGTGGGATTTAGAAGAAGAAATGCAGTATCCATTCACTTGTGGTAAATTTTAGTGCTGGAATCAAGGAAATAACAGCAAAGTGTTTAAAAAAATGTGTGATTATAGTAAATAAGTTTGCTAAGAAGACCACAGTAAAGGAAACCAAACTGAAAATGTTTAGCAGTGCAATCTTACTTCATTTTTGTTTTACCTTCTGAAATTTGTATTGCTGTGAGACCAACTGTATTGAGACAGATACTGTGATTGTGTGAGACTTGCTGGCAGAGCTGTCTGTATTGTTTGCAAATTTTGCTGTTCATGTAGGTCCAGCATTTTGTGTTGGTTAAATGGATTGGAATGAACTGTGTCATTTAGAAACTGATGTGGTGAGTTGTTTTTTTTTTTTTTCTTTTACAACATGCAAGTCAATACAACACTCTGTGTAGGCTAGCTACTTTTCCCTATACTTTTATTTTTTTCATGCTTTATTTTTCTTTGAAACTCATGTGATTGGGGATCGAATGTACAGAGTTTCTAGACAGATTTTCTTTGTTGTAACATAGTATATATTTGCAATTCTAGCCTCAGACTTTGGGTTAATAGGTCTTGAGAGATCAAGGGGTCTTCTGCTTCTAGACCTCATTAGCTGTAAGGGAACACAACAGCCTAAATCACTAGCAAAAGATGGAAGAATAAAAAAAACCTGGTTGTTGATTTCTGTTTCGCTCAGTCAATAGGAAAGAACTCCAGAGATAGGCAATCATAAAAAAAATAGAGTTTAGTGTTGGAGTAAATAGAATTTACTTCTTAGTAAAAGTTGAAGGTCCCATTTGCACATATCAGAGATAGTGGGCTCTTATGGAGAGTGAGCTGACAGTAGAGTTTTAAAGGAGAAGAAAGTCTCTTTTCTTCTTTCAAGAGCAGTAAATTTATAGGACTCACTTTCTACTCACAGCATCTTAAGCTATAATAATCCATGTTATCCTGCAGCTGTGCCTGTACTCCATCAAGAGGTGAGTCTAGAACCAGTTCTTACATGTCTTGACCCAGTAAAAAAGCCCTGCTAATGTTGTTTTTAATTGGATGCCTGAAAGTGGCTCTGCTGGCAAAGTGAAGGAGAAGAAAGATAGTAGGGATTTCAGTCACCATTTCCTGACATCTGTCTCTTATCTTTATCTGTCTCTGACAGGGGTTGAGTGAGAAGGAATCAAGCAGACTGGGGAATCATTTCACATCCCAATTTAGGATTTTAGGGCTCCATGAGAGATGTTTTTCCATTGCATGGGAGTAAAATCCTGCAACTGACTTCCTGGTCATGAAAGCATAGCTGTCCAGGGCTTCTGAGCAGCTACAGCAAAGGAGGCCTAAGGTGTGGTAATAAAAGTTGTAGTAATATCATTCCCTTTCCATTGTTTTTAATATGTTTCTCTAACATGAAGTAGAAGGAGGTGCTAAGAGCAGACCTCTTTGGTTATATCTACAAAACTTTTTGAACTTGGATGCCATGG